TTGGGATGGAGCTTAGAGCTCATCCAGGAAAACATCTGTGTTATGTAGATGGAGGATCTGAAGCAGGAGAGGTTAAGTGGTCACACCTGGTAGCTAGTAACAAAGTACGAAATGAACCCTTAATTCTCTGCTATGTTTGCAACCCAAGGCACAGGTGATGCTTTAAGCAGCACCTGGAAAAGCAGAGGGCAGGCAGATCTCAGTGAGCAGGATAAAGGCAGAAGTGGGCACAGAAACTGACTAATTCGCTTATCCTCTGTTCAGAGAAAGACAGAATTTTAGGGTATGGAATGGAGCACAGAGCTCACCCAGCCCCAAGCCCTGCCCTGGGCAGGGACACCTCCCACCAGAGCAGGTTGCTCAAGGCTCATCCAACCTGGCTGTGAACACTGCCAGGGTTGGGGCAGCCACAGCCTCCCTGGGCACCCTGGGACAGTGTCTCACCACCAGAACAGGGAAAACTTCTGCCAAACATCTGACCTGATGGTTAGATCTAACCCATCTAACCCAGGGTTGGGGGTTAGGACTGGATCATCTCTAAGCTCTATTCCACCCCCTTAGCACTCTGTGATACACACTAAGGAGGACAAAGCTTTGAGGTGACCATGTTTTCCAGCTGTTGTGTGCCTGGAATGCCTTCTCAGGCACATTTCTCCAACAGTGCACCAAGAAGACTCACAAAATGCCCTGTACAAACTGGTTTCTGGCTTCTCCTTGTCTCAGTGTGAGATGCCATGCTTTGTGGGCCTGGTTGTGCACATCCAGAGTGAAGCTTCACCCCAGTGACTCCCAAGGCCTTGCAAGGCAAAGAACAAAGGGTTTCTAAAGTGCTGCTGAGCACATTGTGCTTTTAATTCTGGTCACACTTGTGCTGCTGATGTCACAGGTGCTTCCAGGTAATTCCCTTTCCACAGCAATCTCTGTGGGTGTAATCACCAGGCCAAGTGAGAAGGTTTGAGCTGATTTGTACCCAACCATGTGAAGCTGTGAAGTGGTAAGAGCTCTTCTCTCTTACAGGGAAATAAGAAGTATTTCAAGCGCAGTGAGTTAGCCAAGAAGGAGGAGGAGGCCTACTTCCAGAGATGTGGCTACAAGGTATGGGATTGTCCTGCCAGGACTCTGTGTGCTGACCTTGAAGTCTGCATTTTATTCCCAGCAGTATCCATGTTGTTAACGATAACTGTTGTTCTTTGTCCAACCTGTTACTGGTATACATTAGCCTGTAAATGAGAAGCCACCTGGAGAGGTATGAGTTTCCAAACCCCTTTTCAATGCAGGAAAAGATGTGCATGACAAACAGCTACTTCAGTTTGTGTCATGGTTTGGCTGTTGTTTCTTTCTGTTTCCTTTATTTTGTTGTGGAAAGCATGAAGTGCCTGGGAAACCAAAGCTTGTCTTCCTTTCTTTTCAGTTGTGCTGTTAGGCATGAACACTGGGTCTGATACAGACACCTTTCCCCACTTCTTACTGGGAAAAATGGATACCTTTGGATAATTTAATCCATCCATGGCCTTGTCAAAATGTCCAAAAGAAATCAGTATAGTGTGTGTGCACATCAAAAAGCTCTGCCTGTTTCTATGCTGTTTCTGTGTGGCTCTTGGCCGTCAGCCACCCAGCCCTGGGGCTGTGCCACCACAGCACTTCTGCTCTTGCTGGCTGAAGACAAGAAAGAATTGGGCACCCTGGGTGCATTTTGCAGCAGATGGGTGATCTGGAAGACTTTGTTTGCCTTGTGATGGTGTCAGGGCAGGAATGGAAAGTCTGCCTGCCTGCCTGCCTGCCTGCCTGCCTGGGGTCTGGGGGGGAATGCACTCCCTGGGGGAGAGAGTCTGGTAGTCCTGTCTCCTGTTACAGGGCACAAATAGGAGCTTTGTTTCCAAGTGACCTTTGCCCAGTTAGTGGCTTATTCTGAAACCTTGGTCTGTTGGTGTGATTTGCACATCAAGGCCTAAACTCTCCTGAGAAAGCTCTGAGAATCTGGTCCCTCCTCCACGTGGAAGTGACTGTGTGATGCCTTTTGGGCACCAGCTGATTCTGCTCAGAGCCTCAGCTGGTGGTTTGGGGTGACCTTACCTGTGCTGCTGCAGCACCAGCTTCGTTTGGAACACGGCCCTGAAAACGGCTTCAAACTCAGTTGCTTGGCTAAACTCAGCTCGTCCTTGGAGCCTCCCAGATCTCTGCGTTTGCACTCAGGGGGTGTGGGACACACACTGATTTCTTTGGAAGTCCAGGGGTGGGTTTGCTCTGCTTAGACCTGGTACGTTGTAACATTTCACTCGCTCGAGGAAAGCTGTGAAACAAGCTCCCTGTGGTAAGGACACTGCTCGTAGCTTGGCTGGATCCTGGCTGTGCCCCTGCTGCTGTCTCTGTCTGGTTTCAGGAGTGTGTGTAAGTTAAACTATACGTGTCCTCCCACCAGGGGAGCATGTTTATTTATATACATACTCATTTGTTTTCATACAGTCCTTCCATGTTTCCTGTCCCCTGTCAATTTCCTTTCCTGCACTGATGGAAGTTTTGGTTTTCCCCTCCCTGTATGTGTTAAACATTGATCTGATTGTCCTTCTCTTGTTCATTTCAAACGCTGTAGCTGTAGGTTAAAATTTTTTTTTCTATGTTGGCTAATACATCATTGAACAGAGATTTGTGGCAGGATCTTGCAGGTTTGTGGCAGGATCCTGTAGATTTGTGTCTGAATCTTGTACCTCGAGCCCCAGGGGTGAATCCATCCAGCCACACCCCTGAGTGCAAGGCTGGCACAGAGGCCTGAAAGAATCCAAAGCTTCTTTAAGACAAACCTGCCATCAAACTGATCTCCCCAAGCACAGACTGGAGCTGCCACTGTGCTGCCCATCTGTGGGCAGGGTGCTGCAGGGTGCTCTAGGATCAGGTGGAGTGTGTCCCTTCAGCAAGTGTGGAAAGAAATGCATTCTGATGGGCAAAAGCAAGATGTGAGTGAGCACTGGTACCAGCAGTCTGCTCCTGCTGCCAGCAGCATTGGCTCTGAGCTGGGAGAGGGATGTAGGTACATGGCTGCTGTCTCTGAGTCACTTTGATCTGAGTAGCTTTGCATTATTGAAGTGTTGAGTGATGAAGGAATTCTGTTTGATTTGGGGACCTTCTTTGGGCTGAAGAAGAGCTGTTGAGATCCTGTGAGGAGCTGTAGCGTCGTTTTGTTGTGTGGCTTTTTCCCTGTTTGTGGTTTAACCTGCAAGAAGCTGCAAGTGTGTTAGAGGGTGCATTGCCTGCAGACCCAGCAGCAGCTGTGGATCTCTGCTGGCTGTGCTCAGCTCCCTGAAGCCATAGGTAACTGGCACTCCAGCTGGCACTGCCCAGGAGGAAGCACTCCCTCCCTGCCCTGGGGTTTCACTCCTGCCCCGTGCCTGCTGAGCTGTGTGGGGAGGTGCAGTGGGCTGGGCCAGGTGCTGTGTGTGTGTCCCAGATTGTTTCTGTTTGGATCATTTCCCACACCTGGTTCAGCACAGAGTGATGCAGGTGCTGCCACACGGTGCGGAGGCAGGAGCAGGGGCAGACACCAACAGGCAGACTGTGGGTTTGCTGGTTTTGGCACCAGTGCTGACGTCTGCCTGCCAAAGTGAGTGCCAAACTTGAGCAGTTGTCCTTTCTGTTTGCTTCAGAGACTGCGACCTGCAGCAGTGCTGGTTAACTGCTGATGTTGTCAGGAGCTTTAGTTGTTCTGTGAACTTAATTAGAGACCATCAAACCAGGAAGCCAAAGGTTTATACTGTCACACTGAAGTCTGTGTTCCAGAGTTCTGTACCTTGGCATTGCTTCACATCAGTGTGGGGGTTTGTTCCTTTGCACATTAGTGACTGTGTCTGTTCAATGTAGGTGCAGCAGCAGGAGGAGGAGGAGAAACCACTGGCTGCATCAAATCCAGTGCTGGAACTGGAACTGGCAGAAGAAAAGTTACCGATGACCCTTTCCAGGCAGGAGGTAAAGTCAATCCACACAGGCTCCTCCAGTTTACACAAGTGCATTGCATTGTTGGGAAGGTTGTGTGGAGACCTCATAGCACCTTCCAGGACCTGAAGGGGCTCCAGGGAAGCCAGAGAGGAACTCTTTGCTAGGCACTGTGGTGACAGGACAAGGGGGGATGGCTCCAAACTGCCAGAGGGCAGTTAGATGTTAGGAGCAGTTTGCTGTGAGGGTGGTGAGACCCTGTCCCAGGGTGCCCAGGGAGGCTGTGGCTGCCCCAACCCTGGCAGTGTTCACAGCCAGGTTGGATGAGCCTTGAGCAACCTGCTCTGGTGGGAGGTGCCCCTGCCCAGGGCAGGGCTTGGGGCTGGGTGATATGTAAGTTCCTTTCCAACCCAAACTGTGCTGTGATTCTTTGAACTATGATGAGTACATAGAGATTCACTAGCTCAGGTTTGGCTCTACCCATGTCTTTGTGACTCAGTTATATCTGCTCTTAAAGTAACTATCTCATTAGATCATGAAACTTCAGGTTTGCCAGATGCTTAAGGGTGAGAGTTTTCAGCAGATCATGTTGCAGCTGTGCTGGGGCAACCTGCAGCCAGTCAGTGTTGTAATACCCAGACCCGTAGGTGAGTGATGTTACCCTCGAGTTCCCTGTGAGTTTGGGAACGGTTTTTAAGCCCTGCCAGGGGGATGGTTTCTGTGTTTGCTTACACAAGCCAGAGCAGGAGGAGGTTGGGCTGTGTCAGACAGCCTGGGAGTCTCTGCACAGTTTGGATCCTTGGGGATGACCTTTCACTGCAATGCCGTGGGAATTTTGGGTTAGGGTTGTAAAGTGTCTGGGATGTTTTTCTGCTGCTTAAAATACTGCTGTTTCCTCTCCAGCCCAGCTCAGCTTGTTATTGCAAGCAGAGTAAATAAATCTGTCATTCTGGGCTGTATTTTGCTTCCTGTGTGTGTCAGGGAGGGCTTTGGTGCCTTGCAGGTTATCAGGAGGTTACGAGAGAGAGGTGAGCCCATCAGGCTGTTTGGAGAGACAGACTATGATGCCTTTCAGCGTCTGAGGAAGATAGAAATTCTTGCACCTGAGGTGAACAAGGTAAGATTGGCTCTTTGTTACTTATCTGTAGTGGGATAATCGAAAGAAGTGGCTGACAATCATTTTCAGTGATTTCAGGAGGGAGAGGCAGAGCAAAGAGAAATAGCTGCTCTGTCTCATTGCCTGAGAAAGCACCTTCAATGTCAGAGTTTTGTGCACGATTGCAATTCCTTGTGTTGGAGAGTTCAGCTCTGTAAACCTGCCAGGCCTTGCCAGGTGGGGCAGGGACCCTCAGGTGGCTCTAAAGCACGACCTGTGCTGCCCTGCTGTTGGACCAGGGGGGAACAGCCAGTCAGTGTGTTTGTGGCTGTGCACCACGGAAAGGCACTGGTGAGTAAGGGCAGGTTTGCATCCTGTCTCTGCTGTGGAAAGGGCTTTTCAAACCCCTGGATTCCAGAGCTATAGCCTGTTCTGGAAACTTCATTCCCTTCCTTCCCTTTGAAGGAGCCATCCACCTCAAAACTGACTGAAAGGTACGTCAGAGCTAACTGATTTGTCCCTTTTGTCTTACGAACTGATCAGCTACATGAGGAGATGCAGTTGGGGTTTGTTTTGCTTTCACTGTTACCCAGATTTTCAACCCTAGAGTGACAATTTGGATTTTCTTCCCTAATTTGTGACTACCCTGAATAGTTTGAAATGTCCTTGCTGGGGCTGCCCACGGAGGGAAAGCCTCTTCCCTCTTTAAAATACTGAGCTCTAGGTGTGTACAGGTGACAGCAGTGGTGTGCTGGATCCCTGTTCCATGTTTCAGGCACTCCTGTGGCTGTCTAGGGAGATTCTGTGTTGCTTAGTCACCTCCAGTTTGTGGTTCAGACATTTTTAGACTGCTCCATGGTTAACAGGAGTGCTCCAGACAGCCAAGTGTGCTGGTGGAAGAGAGGAAATAACTGTGCACATCCATTCTCTGTGGAGTGGCTGAATTTATCTGTGGCTAGGAAGTGTCACACTCCTTGACAGAGCTTTGTGCTCTATGTCTCAGGCTTGGGGTGCAAACTCTCCAGCTGTGACTGAGCAAGTTTCTTGTCCTATTCCAAAGCAGCTTTAGCCTTATGTATGTGGTTTTAAACTGAGTCTGTTTTTTTAACCACCTGTTCTGAAGCAGGAGAGTTTGAACAGTTGATCTGCATAAAACATTCTGCTGTGTTTCACTGGGGGTAAAGGGAAGCAACAGAAATGCTTTGTGTGATGGAGCTGAAGGAGGTTCCCTTACGTGCAGCTTTTCTCAGGGCAGGTGTGAGACTTGCAGAGCTGATGTTACGGTTTGTTGTCTGGTTTGGGCTGGTTCCTGCTTGGAGGGAGTGTCTTGAGAAGGTCTTAGAAGCTGTTTTTGGTGAAAATATTGTAAGAAGCCTTTTCCATAGTTACGAACACTGCAGGAGTTGGTGCACCTGCTTTATGCTACGTGCTGAAGCAATCCAGAAACTGTGCTTGGGGTTCAGCTGAAATTCAGACAGCAGAGCTGAGCCCTGACATGTGTTTCCAGGGAATTTGCCTTTCTGAAGCAGAGGTTGGATACTCATGGTGACTGAACTGAGCTGCTGTTATTTACTGAGGGTTTTTTCTAAGTGAGTAATTTTTATCTCCTCCAGGGCCTGAGGAATGACCTGAAGGCTGCCCTGGACAAGATTGACCAGCAGTACCTGAACGAAATCGTGGGTGGCCAAGAAGCAGGAGATGATGACTCCCAGAATGACCTGAAAGTCCACGAGGAGAACACCACTATCGAAGAGCTAGAAGTATGGCTGGGGTAGATTTTGGGGGGCAGTTAGATATAGTACATTGTCAGGAGAGAACTTTGTCTAAATTGTGCAGAAGCTATCTTGTTTTCAGTGTCTAACTTAGGCATTCTGGAGTGTCCTTGGACAGGAAACTTGGGTTTCCAAGCCTTGAGTTACACTGTAGGTGCCTCCAGTGCAAACTCACGTGGCGTTTGTTTGCAGTAATCCATCACAAAGGGGACAGGTGTTGCCTGCAAAGAAGGTGATGCAGTTGAAATTCCTTCTGCAGGTGGTTTGGAAGCAGTGAATTTATTTACAGTACATCCTCTTGGTCATAAATTGTAGAGCTTTTCCAGTGAGTAGAGAGGGTAATATGCTCCGTACTGAGGACTTTTCCTTAGACAGGGAAGGACTCTGAAAAATAGACACACACAGAGAATGTTTGATGTGGGAAAAAGTGAACATGAGAAGGAGACAGATCACAGGGGATATGAGAAGTGCAGAGAGGATGTGTCCCAGAAACTCAGTGCCAGTGGCTGCTGTGTTCTGCAAGGATCCCGTGGGGTCTGTGGGAGTGAGCAGAGTGAGTGCCACGAAATCACTCAGCACCTTCTGTTTCAGGCAGTGCTCTGAAAAGCACCTTCACTTGAGCTGGAGACTTCTACCCTTAATCTGCCAGACTCTCTGCAGGAGCTGGTCTGCATAACATCCTTCCAGAAGTGTGTTTAAGGAATAATCTGATCTGTGACTGGAGGCTGAAGTGAATGGTTAGAGGTGGCCTGGCACTTTGTCAGGGTGCCAGGGCTCCTGGCTCAGAATGGCTGCAGCACCACAGTGGGAACCAGTTGCAGTGGAGCTGCATTTTGCTGCTCTGTCAGTTCTCAAAACAGCCTGTTGTGGCTTTGAGCCATGAGAGCAGCTTTTCCTGCACAGTTTGAAAGCTCTGCAGTCTGAATTTTAGGTTACTCAGCTGCACTGCTGTGAGCATAAAGGCTCACACTGAACTGGCTTCCAGATCCAGGGTTTTTTAAAGCTTACCTTGGAAATGTGAGGACTGTGGAAATGGGTTATAAATCTGAATGTATCTCCTGGAAAGTGTTTCTAAGAATTGCCATTAGTGTTTACAGTCCTGGGGTTTGGCAGGACACTGGAGCACACTGCTGGGTCTGCTAGTGGTGTGTGTCTGGCTTTGGGGGTCCCTAGGTTTGGTGCCTCAGTTTCATAGCCACAAGTAAATGTTGAAAAGTCCCAGAGTGTCAGAGAACTGAAATAGCTGAACAAGACAGTTGGGTGACTTGGTGGCTTTGGGGATCTCAGAAGGAGCTGTGCACCCTCAGTTCCCCTTAGCACAGTGCTGTCAGCTGCTAATTGTGCCAATAACTCGGTAGTTAATGAACGAAGAGTGACTGTTGCATTGGCTTTCCAGAAACAACCATGTTGGCTCTCGGCTGTGAATGTGTCTGACAGACAGTGAATCTCAGTACCATCTGTAGCTGTTTCCTTCTGTGTCCTGACAGTGTTTTGGGTTGCTGGTGGAGCTCACTGCAGCTCATGGTGCAGTGAGCCATGCTCTGCTGTGTGGTAGTAGCAAACCTGCAGACCAAGTAGGACTAATGGCCTTTTGTCTCCTGTTCCAGGCTTTGGGAGAATCCTTGGGTCGGGGTGATGATCACTATGATATGGACATCATAACCAAGTTCTTAAAGGTAACAACCACTAGTGCATTCATTGCTCTGTACCTGTGTCACGTTTTTGCTGTCATGCAGATACATCTCCTGAATGGGAGGGTTGGTTTCAGCTCCTTGGACAGAAAAACTCACACAAGGTGCTTAACATGTGTTTTAGGATTCCACAGCCATGGTTAGTCACAGGTTAGTTAGTCTTGGGAGGAGGCTCAAGGG